CCGCAAGAATTATTACTGAATCTGATTATAACATCCGGTCATCAGATATTTTAACATCATTGAATTGGACCAACCTTGAAACCAGACGTACCCAACAGTTCAAAACTTTTATGTACAAAACTGTTAATAATATAGTTCCTAGTTATTTGTCTGGAAAATTTACTTCCACGTCAATGATACACGAACATAGTTTGCGTGGATCTAATCATAAACTTTTTGTACCAAGACCCTTAACGGAATCCTTGAAGAAAAGTTTTTCCTACAGAGGAGTTACCCTATGGAATGACATACCCGTCGAACTCACTAGAGTTCAATCTCTCGCTGAGTTTAAATCTAAAATATCTTAATATTTCTTTTATATTAGTTTCTTTGCATGTGTAGTTTGTTACTTTTGTAAATAGTTTGATACTTTTTTATTAGTAATTAGTCGACTAGTATAGGTACACGTCTCCATTGAAGAGCACATAACATAACCTGTGAAATGGACCTCGTGTTTTAAATAAAGATGTCAATCAATCAATCAATTCGACATGGCACTCAAAACCCAAAATTTGACTTCCGGTTTAGCGGGAAAAGCACGCGGGAAATATTAATTCCAGCTTGGCCGAAAGCGAAGCCAATTTAAGTCAATAGCGTGCTGTTTCTTTGTTGCAAGGGGCGACAAGATTGATAATAGAATGGCCTGGATCATCAAATAATCTTTCTTTTGCACAAGTTGCGAGTCCGGCAAATGTAATTTCTCAAAACGAATCGCATGCTACTACATCACCTGGCGTCACTACCGTCAGGTCTGTGAATACATCATATCCAGAAAGAGTGTTGGGGAATTTTAGAAATCTTTTTGCCAATTTTGCGTCGTATGGGCATACTGGTCGCCGAAGTCTAAGTTCCTCAACTCAGTTGTTTTCAATACGTCTACAACACTTATATTTCTGTGTTGTTGACTTAAATTGCCTTCGTTCGGCCGTGTTGGAATTACGATTTCCCGCGTGCTATTCCCGCTAAACCGGAAGTCGAGTTTTGGTTTCTGAGTGCCATGCCGAATGACTATTTCAATAATGACTCAGAGGAGGTTGGGTGACCATACCGGCATGCATTGCGTCTCATTATTATTCACAATTGCGATTTTTGACAAACGTTCAGTGGAAAGTTGTTGAAATATATTGCGATTTTTATCTTTGAAGACATCATTTTTTGGAAGGTATGTTTTTATATTTGTATTATTTAAGAACCTAATTAGCTATTTTGGACTTGTTTGGTACAGGAATTGCTTTTTAGTTATGCTAATTAGTAATTACGTATTGTATTTATGCTTGATTCGGGTCGGTGGACACGCCACAAAAGTGGCTTTCAAAAAATGCAGAAGCTACTTTCATTTTTTTTATGGGAAATTAAAATGAAACACGTCAGCGAATTAATGAAAGTTTATTCTTTCCATTCGTACTTTAAAACTCAAAGTAGCTCGACGAAAATGACTGGTACTCGTGGTTTGAAAATGGGGTACTTTTGCTATATTCTTTCGCCGATGGCGGGAATTGACCGCGCGGTTATCAATTGGCGCGAAGTAAAAACTACAGTACGAATCACTATTTTCTTCAAATTCATTGGAACAAACGTATACATGTTTCCACATTTAACTGTACTGAGTCTACTAACCGTATTTTAACCACCTAGCTTTTCATGATTTGTTACAGAATCCTGGTTTACAATATTACTGTAAAATATAGTAATAATACTGAAGAAAGATTGTTGTTCAACTGAAGAGGAATTTCTGATCCCCGAGCCGACGGCGCGAAGCGCCGTGCGAGGGTACTAATTCCGCCCGGCTATTTACACCCGGGGAAAGGAACGCACTAGCGAAGTCTAAAGTTCATCAAATATCGTGAACGCATGGCTCACCGTTCATGGGTGGTCATCCTCACTGATCTCAAAATATGTAGCGGACTGTCGTGAATTAATAGTGAACACTGATTGGTCAAATTTGAAATTTGCATGATAAAGACTGCATTGACGACAGCGAAATAACGAATATTTCTTGCAAGTTGTATTTTTGCAAGATTTTGTAAATTTCAAAATCTTTCTGCGAGCCAAAAAACGTCTAAAAACGTCTAAAAGAATAGAGCAAAGTCGCCGACGTTAATGAAGGTAAGTTTGTTTTAAATATTGATGTATTTTTTTATTCATAATCGATATATTTATAACTGATAGTGCCATAGTGGTGGGCGATACTGCGAATATCGAACTGATAGTTAGTGATACTATCATTGCGTATATAAGTGAAAAAAAACCAGCATATAATTTCAGTGTAGTTTTATTAATACCCTTTCTTTTGTATATTAAAGTATTAATTTAAATAAAGAGGAAAGCAAAGTTATTTTCATGCGATTTCAAACTCAATGTTTACTGAAAATTCGATAAAAGGCCGATTAGTTTTAAGGACATTTTAAATTAAAACGTTTTGCAAAGCGTTAATTTGTGGTTGAATTTTACATTAATTTAAATTAAATTGAAGCTTATAATTAATTACGTATAATAACATACCTAGCATATATATATTTGGAAAATTGATAATCTTGTTATTAAAAGTAATATTTTGGGGGGATTTCTCAATTTTAAACTATTCTTAAAATTATCGTGTTACCATGACAACTACTTCCAATTCTTCATATTCAGAAAACATAATGTTTTGTCAGTAAGGCGAGGGTTTCTGCATGCATGTATTTTCTAGTTTAATATTGAAGTTTACACTGTTTATTTTGTACTTTCCTAGCAGACAGATTTATCTGACTCCTATATAAAGGTGTGAAGGCAAGCAATCTGGTTTTAAGGTGCCAGAAACTTGTGCTTGTGTTCAGCTTTTTCAAGGAGCTGTCCTTGTTGGATCACGGTTTACTATTTTTGGTAAATGTCTTTATTAATTACCCTTTCTTTTGTATATTAAAGTATTAATTTAAATAAAGAGGAAAGCAAAGTTATTTTCATGCGATTTCAAACTCAATGTTTACTGAAAATTCGATGTTTACTGAAAATTCGAAGTTTACACTGTTTATTTCGTACTTTCCTAGCAGAAAGATTTATCTGACTCCTATAAAGAAGCCCCAGTAAAATATCATAAATGGACCTTTGAGAAAGATAAGGCACTTATTGAATTCATATCAGAACAGATCCAAATATCAGTATGGAACACATGTGGTTGGAGAGTGGCCATTGTTTACCCATTAACCTGCAGAGCTTCCCTATTGACGAGTAAAATCGTCTGGCATTAGACAAGTAAAAAAATAAGTAGGGCGCATTGCAGCTCAATGGGTTAACTAGAGACATTGTCGGTTTTTTTGGTTAACCCATTAAGCTGCAAAGCTTCCCCATTGACGAGCAAAATCGTCTGGCGTTAGACAAGTAAAAAAAAGAAAGTAAGGTGCACTGGGGCGCACTGCGGTTCAATGGGTTAATGCGAAGAACTGTTTCTGGGATGAGGCATGGTGCCATGCATATCCAAATATGCAGTACTTCCTCAAACAATCTGATGTCAAGTAAGTTTGTTAGAGTTTTTTATAATATGTGTACTACCTGCAAAACTCAAAAGAAATAGATGTTTCCATTAAAGGTTCTATTTAGAAATTTATAGTTGTTTTGATGTTTCAAGTAAAATTGTCAGGTCATAGAGCAGCAGTATGATGACACAGAATGAAAATGGGTCCTAATCATAAATTATACCACTTTATCTGTTTTTCATACTTTATATAGAAGATAGATCGCCGTCTACGAACACTAACAACTGCTTGCTACAGAAAGAGTTTGCAAGATGCTGAAATCCATTATGGTTTGACACAATCTGACAGTTCAGCGGAACTTGTGATTGATAAGCGGAAAGCTACAACTCGTAAATCTAAGCCTGTCATGGAATCAGCAGCACATTGTGGTCATTTTGGTGTGGTTGTTTTTCAGTGAGTTTCAAACACAAATAATTACAATTTTACAGGTTTACAGAGAAATGTAATTCCTCTAGAATGTTTAAATGTACATCATTAAGAGAAAAAGCATCACGTGGTATACAGTGTATTTTTTTCATACACTAAATAACACCTTTAATGTAGCATAATTAGAGTAATGTTAACATTTTTTTGTACTTTGACAGAAATAAATTTTATTGAACATCAATTCTGTGTAATCTGTTTACTTAAGTATCTTTTATACAGTCTTAACACATGGCATGTTTTGGGTTTTTTTTTTGTTTTTTCACTCTTATAAATTATAAGAGTGAAATAAATAAAACCATACCATGTGTTAAGACTGTTAGCAGGTATTTAATCAGTTCATTGTTTATTATTAGCCGCCATATGAAACTGCAGAATTGGTAAGATGGCATTCACAGAATACCAACACTTATGCTACAGCTGCATATAATAGGGAATGCTAAAAAATAACCTGTAGTGCAAGGAAAACTTGACACGTTATTCTGAGTGATAGAAAAGTCAGTATTATGAGACCCCACCAAAACCAATTCTGCATTTCTATTTATGGCAAACACTATTAGTAGTGGTTGTTTCAATGCAGTACAGCATAGCATCACATTTCGTATGGTAGTACAGTGTGACTCTTTTTATGCCAAGATAGTAAGCCTTCCATCAAATATATTAAGATGAAGGGTATTGTAATGCAACCAAGGTTCGCAGCTATATTGAAGTGCCAGTAACATCTTTCATCTCCAGAGCTATATCGCCATCATTCACCGCATCACATCCAGATGTTCTTCATCCTGTCCATGCCATGGCAAGAATATCCTCATGTTTAACCACTTCCATTGATGAAAACAACTGAAAGATAAACAAAGAAAGCACATACTTTGTTATGCACTGTGTTCAAAGGTGTACAGGACCTACTACGTATCTCAATTGGGCTGCTAAAACAACTAAAACATGCTTTCTACAAAGCTGTGGCAACCATCTTTATCACTGAATATCTTCAACAAACACCCCGGGCATTCTTTCCCTACTCCCGGGCATTCAACAAATGTTCCCGGGCATTCTTTAGTAGGACGCACATTGCCTGCTGTTAGGCAGAATAAAATTATAAAGTAGGGTGCATTTATACAGTATCAGGTACATTGTATCTTAATGGTTAACTGACTCCCTCCTCCGCCGAGCCTCCTTAAGTATTTACAAATAACTTACATGAAGTTTCCTGAATAAAAGTGAGCGCGCGCGGTGTGATGGGAAGATTGAAATGAAGTTGGGGAGGCTCTGCCAGATAATGCGACGAAGGATGGTTTTTGAACCAAACTAGCTGTTTGACCTTTTTTTAAACTTGAAATCGGCGGAAATGTGAAAGAAATTGAAATGAATCTTCATAATCTGAGTATCGAAGTTCAATAGAGTCATTTTTATAAAGAAATATTGCAATTTAGAGGATATTTATAATTAGATAACTTGTATCCGTTGATATTCGTTTGCAATTTCTCAATATTTTTCGATGCAAATGGACGGAAGAAGATATTGATATTTAATTCACCCCATGATACTCAAGTACGCCTGAAAATGAAACTCGAAAACACGTTTTAACACCCTCGATTGTTGATCGAACTTCGCTACAAACGATTATATACGACGCCATATTGATTGCATTAACTCGCAGAGGCTTCCTTTATTTAGCTCTTCCCATCACTCTTTGCGCGCTCGCTTTTCCCTCATTAGAAACTTCATGTAAGCCTCTACGGAGAAGAGAGCGTTAACTAACATGAATTAATTTTCTCCTCAATTAAATATTTTCCACCAGCTACTATCAATTAGTATCACTATGTCAACGCAAATTAAACAATGATGTTAGTCAATTCCTCTATTGAAAACATGAGATATACGTATATTAATCATGTCAACATTTTCAAAGGATTCAACTTATTCAAGTATTTGATGCACAAACTTTTAATTAGACAACACAATGAATTAAAGTAAACAACGTGCATCTAAATCATCTTACCGTAAAAATGCAGCTCGAATTGTATTTCTATCAATGCAGGACTGCATCCAGCGAACATTTCGTCAACTTTCATTCAATTTCCATTATAAACAACCGATGGACACGGCGCTACTCTCACGACATTCAAGTTCGACACACGGTAATCCGCTTGGAATCAAGATTAAAGTTTCTTTAGACACGCATTGAACAAACAGAAGCTCGTGTCCATTCAATACCGAAATATTCTTCCCACGAATGCAGGGAAAACTTGCCATTTTAGTTGCAATAATTGAAATACTTCTCCAGTTCTGACTTCCGCGAAAGCTAATCGAACAATGACGTGCACTTCCGAGAAATCGATAATATGTAATAAATCCTCCTCTGATAATGACTGTTTCACGCCGAATGAAATTCGAAAAACATAATATCGAATATCATAATACTATTAATAGCATAACTGAACTTCATAAATGCAATTTCCAATGGCATAAATGAATATATGAATTTGGGCGGATATCACACCTCATACCATCTATTGTACTTTAAATTTAGTTTAACTCTTTTTTGTTTGAGGGTCATTTAATAGGCCACATAAAATAAATTCCTTGATTCTCATCACCGCCCGACTGTATTCGACTCGTGAAAATGTTTTATATTTCGTTTACAATATAACCGCCCGACAAAATAATTCAAGACAGTTAAGTTCTTTAGTGCCATTTCAAACTGCCAATTTCAAACAAAGAGAATCTTGAAAGAAATTTCATTGCATTTTATGTAAAGTATTCTACCCAATATAAGCTTCAATTTAAGGTAAAATTCAACAACAAACGCTTCGCAAAACGTTTTAAAGTGTTCTTTATAAAACTAAACTGCCTTTTAATAATTAAATGGCTTTATCGATAAAATCTTGCAAAAATGCGAACAACAATGAAATATATTTGCAAGAAATTTATCAATCATCAAATCAAGAAATGTTTGCTATTTCGCTGTCGTCATGCAGTCGTTATAATGCAAACTTTAAATTGGACCAATCAGTGTTCGCTATTCATGACAGTCCGCCATATTATTGAGATCAGTGAGGATGACCACCCACCCCAACATCGTTGGTCACCCACGCCCGCGATAATTGATGAACTTTAGACTTCACTAATGCTTTCGTTTCCCCGTGTGTAAAGAGCCGGGGGGAATTAGTATCCTCGCACGGCGCTTCGCGCCGTCGGCTCGGGGATAAAAAAACCTTCCGCCTCCTCGACATTTTCAAAGTGTAGTGATGAGAGTCAAGGAATTTATTTTATGTGGCCTTAAACCTGGTCGAAGTCGTCCTGGTTACTTTGAATGTTCGTATCTTTGGTTCGATTAATACATGCTATGTAGATGAAAATCCCACCGTTTGATTCAGTGAAGAAATATCTCCTAATTTCTATCGATAGTCTTAGTAAAATGTCAACATTATAGCGATTTATGGCCTTTGAAAGTCAAGCGAGATTTAATACGCAATTGTCTGAACTAAAATATAGACTATAGCCATACCTTTCGCCGATCATAACTTCGGCCCTTTCGGACGTATCTTCTTTGTAATAGACTTGTTCGAATCGCAATCAAAAGCACTATTTAGAGTGTTATTTTTGATATTTTATCTTTAAATTTGCATCTTTTATTATGGTATTCCATTTCTGGTCTGACTGTGAACTAATTTCAAAACGTCAAAACATTTGGTTAATGATTAACATTTAACCGTTGATTGCATGACAACTACCTAAAATATTAACCAATCCGTTTTTTTCGTTCACCAGTGGACGGGTAATTTAAATACACCTACACTGTTATTTTCAGGGAGTTAAACTAACTCCCCTATTACTCCTTTTTAGTGGAGTTAAAATTTTAGGGCTACGTTAACCCCATTTCAGGAGTTAAAGTAACTCTCATTGAGGAGTAAGGGGGTACGGGCGAATAATTAGTATGCAAAATTATCTCTTGATGGTGGAGTTATTCAGATATAACTCATATTTGTTATAAAAGGCAAACAAAATGGCGTCGTGCTTTCGGCTTTTTTAATAGTTTTAACTCGCTCAGATTGCTTTCTTTTCTACTGCACTCAAGAAAAAACCCCGTGAAAATTATACGGAAGGGAGGCGAGAACTGCATTATTCATGTTTCAGGTAAGTGAACATATTTTACTTCGTGTTTAATATAAATATTCAGATGAGAGGAGTGACATTTTTGGTCACAGCAGCTCAATGACGCAGTGTTTTATTACAACTTATTTTTATTATTCTGTGGTGATGTGTTGTATCATATTAAATTTAAACAGAGCAAGTACAAATTGTACACATTGTACTTGTCATACAGTACAATACAATCCACTATTATTAGTTAAAACAAGACATGACAGCTATGACAACACAAAATTCATTATATTTCATTACAGTACAACAAAGTACATAGTACAATTTTGCATCACGCAGTACATTACAGTACAATATGCCTGAAAGTACAATGCACCAAAGGACAGTACAGCACAATTTCGCATAGTTAAGATTACTGTAGCACAGTGAAGTACAGCCGAGTTTAAAACACATAAAAATTCAGTGCAGCACAATAGAGTTTGAAGTGATTGTTTGAGCAGGTTAACCCACATTAGTGTGCAATACCCTCCCTTGAAAAGTAAAATTGTCTGGAATTAGACAAAGTAAAATACCAAAGTAGGACGCCATGGGCAATGAAGTGTTTAACACAACTCAGCCATTGGCAGCCAATGTACTGTAGTGTTAGTAAATAGCGCAGCATTAGTGCAACACATCACAAGTCTTATAACTGTCTTATATTGGATATAATTGAATGAATATGCAGGGACACCGGAACGATAATAAGGCAAAGGGGGGCGGACGCTCACCAAGGGCACGTACCTCTATAAAGCAAAATTTAAAAATCTACCGGAAAATTTTTTCCTCCCCCTCCCCTCAAATTTAAACTATAAATTGACTGAATCTCACGATTTTCATACAAAAAGCATCGTTGGGAATGTGATTTCTCACGTAGTATTTTACAACTAAAAGGGCACTTCTGCCCCCT